TTCATAAAATTAAGTGCAGTCAATTTTCATAACCTCTCTATAAATTTAACTTATATTTTGTGCAATGAAACACATATATTGTCACTGCATTCAAGAGATGTGTTACTAATACAGACTCATGTTGTCTTTATACAGAACTGGTATAATTCAATATTATTTTTAGGATTTTGGCAAATTATGTTTTGAGGATCTCAATTGATTCTCTACAAAATACACAACCTTTCCACTACTAACTCTCAAAGTAACTGATAACAGCAACCAAAGCAGCTTACTCTGAGAAAGAAAATCTAATGAGGTTCTTACTAAATGATTTACATGTCATAATCAATCAGGTGATTTGTGCAACATCTGAAGCACTTAACTGCATCAAAGTCACTCAGGTGACGTCAAGGTCTATGTTACCAAATGATGCTGGTGGCTTAGTAGCTGTACGAGACCAGACTTTTGAAAAGGTGTTCAAAAATGACAAAAAAAAATTTATTTGATAATTCCCAAAATGCTTAATAAAACATCAAGTTTAATTGAAAAATAAGTCAAATGAGAAATAACAGATGTTGGCCCAACTTAACTGAAGTCAACTGAGCACAAACAAAACTGACCTGCAGTAACCTAAATCTACCACAAGAGGGTGGCACAACATAGCAAAAGAACAAACAAATACAAAATTAGCTAAAAACCAATAAAACAAATAAAGCAAATAAAGCAAAGATAACTTAACTTACTATGCAAAGCCAGCCCAAAATATATAAATATTTTGTGTTAATTCTTGTCTGACTGAGACTCTGACTATGTAGATCTAATCTGATAACATTATCACTAAAAATAAACATAGGTGAGATTAAAGAAGAAAAAAAAACTCAAAACAAAAGTCTATTTATACACCAACAGTAAAAAGCTGCAAGACAAGAATGTTTAGATTCCTAGTACTTTAGTCGAGGCTTAAGGAAGGAGAATGAAGAGCAGGAGGAAAAACAGAATCTCAGACTAACCAAAACACTAAAGAGACAGAAACAGTAATCTCAGTAAAGATGTTCAAATCAAGAATAAATGAATTAACACAAGGAAAATACTAAAATGGCAAGAGCTAAATAAATAAAGAAATGCAATCAAAACATAAACAAAAATTTCTAAGACTCATCACATGTCAACAGCATGTGACATACTGTTTATTCAATGTCACATGCTGTTTTTATTTTGTTTTTAATTATGTAAAGCACCTTGAAATGCCTTGCTGCTGAAATGTGCTATACAAATACAATTTTATTGATTGATTGATTGATTGATCTCCTGACAGTGGAGTAAATTTTTGAAAGTATTTCCTGAAGCTACTGATTGTGTGTGGGAATCAGACCAAAATGGAGGTAGGAGAGCAGGAGTCTCATGGTGATAATGTTTAATAAAAAGAAGAATGAAAGACTTACAGAAAACCAACCACAGAACAATCTGACAGCGTGACAGGAAACAGAAAAGCATAAAATCTAATCAAGAAAGAAGGGACACCTGGAGGGAAAGTTGAAGCAGATGAGAAATGAGAAAATAGAGAACAGTTGGGATGGAGAGCAGCCTGACAGGCTGAAAGGAAAAAGTTGAGTAGCAGAAACAATAGAATCTAAGACTAACCAAAACAATAAACTTAGAGAAACAGAAATCTAAGGAAACAAGTCCAAAGCAAGAATAAATTAATTAACACAAGAAACTAACTAAAATGGCAAGAGCTGAGTAAATAAGCAAATAAAAAATCAAAACAGAAACATAAATGAAGACAAAAGTCTTAACACTTACAGATCATGATAAAGATGTTTTAATTAAGCGTTAAATGTTTCATGAACAGGAGAAATATAATTGTGATTAATTTGGAAGATGCAGCAGGATTCACAGAAAGTATTCTTTATATTATTATTGTTTTAGCTCAAAAAATAATATTTACAAAAAATGAATGCTGAGCTACTTCAAGAGATCAAATAAACCATAACTTATTGCTGTGGCTTATTTGATGATCAGAGGGTGATCAGCTCTGATCACCATCTGATCAACTTCAGGAATGTTGCTCGACATTCTGCTGTTTCTGTTGCTGCTCCTCCTCACATTCCTCCAGACGTGTTCCTGTAAAGTCTGTCCTATTCTGTAAGGGACTCTGTTACTGTCCCTGGGTCTCACACAGCGAGTCCAGAGTTTCTTTTCTCAATTGTCAGGACAGTTTGACCAAACTGTAAAACTGCTTGGTTTTATACTTAACTTTGAAAATAAGATCTTTAACATAATTAATTTAATGTTCATTGAGATTTAATATTCTTGATGTGACTTATGATACACGCTACTTAATGGGTGCAAACCAGCTTTAATATTGTGTATGACATGGAAAAAACTGTCATACAGGTTTGTGATGGATAAATTTGATAAGCAAGATGAATGACAGGAATTATTAGAATTTTGTTTTATTTGAACACAAAATGTTATATTTACAAAAAAATGAATGTTGAGCTCCTAAAAGAGGTCAAATAAACACAATTTAACTGACACAACAAAAAGTCAACTTAATAAACCACCCAACTATACAAAGCATAGATGACTTAGCAAAAATATAATGGCTGATCAACACAATTACGTCAGTTAAACAACTAGAAACTACAAGAACAAAACACAGAACAGTTATGTTTTTAATAAACTACACACAAAAGGAAAAAAATCTCAGATATTAATATTTAAATACAAATAGCTAAATATTTGTTTTACTAAAGAAAATACTATTCATCTGTAGCACGAACTAGTGGTGTAGTTCAAATTTCCCCTTCATGTAACAAGATGCTCTAAGCCCTGCTTTTATCTTTTATCTAAGCAGGAATATTTCTCTACAATTTCCTCTTCTATTCCCGTTGCTGCTCCTCCCACCTTCAGGTTATTTCCAGTACGCAGCTCAGCTGTTTCACTGTCAACTTGACTCACATCTCAAATGGAGAGTTTCTTCTTCTCCTCCTTATTCAGCACTTAAGACTGAACATACTGTAAGTTTGCTTTGTTATATATTTTACTTGGAAATCAGGAACTGTAACTGAATTGATTTGATATGCTGTTGGTTTGATAAGCTAAAAACAACAATGTGACATTTGTCAAATAATGTCATAAAATCAGATCAGCAGTCTCTCAAAAGTTTGTTTGCATAAATGGAAAATAAATGTTGGTGACTGAATTCAGGTGCAATTAAATGTTGTCAGACTGTGTAGGTTTCTGAAATGTTATCAGAAAATTTTACTGGGACATTGCTGGCTTATCATTGTGAGCCCCTTCAAAGCTGCAGTATGTAATTTTCTATAAAGAATATGTTTTTGACATATTTGCTGAAACTGTCACCATGTTTTGACAATGTAATAAGAGACAAATAATCTGAGAAAAGATCAATTTCCACCACCATCTCTCTGAGCTATCTGAAGAAATGCACTGCTCCTGACCAAAAACAACCAACAACCAATCAGAGCCAGGGGGAGGGTCTTGGCACTGTCAATCAATCTCATGTACTCGCTGCTAAATAATAATAACTAATAATAACAGAGATACAACTTTCCATGGCAGGAAAGTCGTCATCGGTTGCCATGCTAACTAGTCTGAGCATTGACAACAGGATCTGCTAAGGAAAAGATGTAGAACAGGACCGGGGTAGGAGGGATGAGCAGCGCCAGCTTCTGATTGGTTGTTTCTAGCTAGCACAAGGTGCACTGGAAGAAAGCAGAAGAGCCACATTTTTTCTCTCAGATTGTGTCTCAATCGATAGTCAGAGACTGGAAGAAAATATATACTTTTACTATAAGGTACATACTGCAGCTTTAACCAAAATTAAACAGAAAAAGAGGAGCAGGTGGTTTTTTGTTGTTATTTTTTTTACTGCAAACATGATGTAAAGGATGAACAGTGTTGATCTTCAGATTAGTGATTTGTGTTCCTCCTGCAGATGAAGCTGTGTCACTGATGTGGATGTAAATTCAGCAGCATGGATCAGTGTGAGGACAGACAGGAGGGAGTTTCTCCTTCTAAAACCTCATTGTGTTTGGAACAGGAGAGCCTGAGCGACCCTCAGAGGTCAGATTATCAACTGTCTTTACACTGTGTGCATTTGTCAAATGAATGTCTAAGGTCCAGTCTAAAACAGTCTAGAAGCAGCTGAGCAGATTATGGGCATTGGAAAATCTTTATTTGGATAGAAATATGCATGAAAAGGTTTTATCTAAATATTCTCCATTAATAAAAAGAGCATGGGAGAAGTGGGGGAGAAGTTAAAAACCCAGAACACATTGGCAGAGAGATTTAAGATTTGCTCTAACAGGTTGCATTACGAGGTCCTGGAGATAAACTGAGTGATGCTTCAAAATGAGCATTATTTACATAAAAAATATGCTTTTTCCTATTTAATTATTATATATATCTAATATTGGGGCTGCACAGTGGTGCAGTTGGTAGAGCTGTTGCCTTGCAGCAAGAAGGTTCTGGGTTCGATTCCTGGCCTGGGGTCTTTCTGCATGGAGTTTGCATGTTCTCCCTGTGCGTGGTGGGTTCTCTCCAGGTACTCCGGCTTCCTCCCACAGTCCAAAAACATGACTGTCAGGTTAATTGGTCCCTCCAAATTCTCCCTAGGTGTGAGTGTGTGTGCATGGTTGTGTTTCCTGTCTGTCTCTGTGTTGCCCAGCTGGCGACCTGTTCAGGGTGAACCCCGCCTCTCGCTGGAGACAGGCACCAGCACCTGTCCTGAACCCAACTGGGACCAGGGTGTTAGAAAATGGATGGATGGATATATCTAATATAATTTCCTCTAAAGTTTAAATATTTATGCCTAATATGTGTATGCTTAGACTTTGAAGTCAAAATCATATTTCTTGTTTGAGGACACAATCTTGACCTGTAAAGCTGATTCTAAGATATTCAGTTATTCTTTGTATATTCAATACATTTGCCTGGAAAGACTGTTTGACAAACTGTAGATTGTTATTGATGTGTGTAATTTGGATAATATTGTCTTTAGATAAATATTTTTATTTATTTATTTTTTTTTAAACTGCATGTAATGTGCTGTGTTTTAATATTTTTTTTACATCAGGAGAGATCAGGAAGATGAATCTGAAGTAGAACGTAGAGGTGACCCAAAATTTGAGTCCTTCAAGAGCAACAAGTCAAATGACTTTTTCATCAACTTTAACTCTGACCATCGTTCTAAATCAGAGAGGTGAGTTGTATGTTACTGTGTAAAGGTTTTTATTCAAATATCTTTTAAGCAAATCTACATTGTTTTCAAATACAGGACTGTGGAACAGAGGCTGCAACTGTCTCCTCATAGTTAGAAGGTAGCAGAGTTCTTTCTGCCTGTGAAATGTTTGTGTTGAACATTTTGCATAGTCAAAGTGAAAAGAATAAATCCTGGATGTACTTACAGATAGGTGACTGTTCAGTTTTGAGGCTCATTAATTAGTCTTTTTTTATTGTAGCAGTTTAATGTAATCTAATTTTACAATACAAAATAATTCAGTTCATATCCAAACATATTTCATATCAGTTTCTTTCAATCAGTCATACATATAGAATCAATTTCAGTTTAAAATGCCAATTGGTAAAATGTTAGCCATTTAAGGAAACTCAGTTTATTGCACTGTCACTGACTTTGCAGCAATCCCTCATCCTTAGCAAGCTCCAGCAAAACCAGGCTCAGTGTCAGCAGCCTTTCATGTATTTCTGTGTATTTATTTTAAATGACAGGAGAATACAATTCTGCCTTATTGTCATAATAACAAATTATTAATCTTTCTAATAGAAAACATGTACATAGTGAGGACCAACAGAAGTCCGATGTTCCCACTGATCAGTCTGCCCCGTGCTATCAAACACAGCTGGACTCCGTATTAATGGTCTGTACATGTATTACTTCTCATCTGCTCTTATTACACTAATATTCATGCTGTAGACTAACTGTAAGACTTTAAGTATGCTCAACATATATCTGCAGTTTTCCTCAATTGTATATTGTATATCTTATGTATAATTCTAATAAAACTCTGCAACAGCTACTGCAGGAAAACGTCATCACGTTTGTGAAGAATGAGATGAAGAATATCCAAAAGGTTCTGACATCAGAAAACTCAGAATGCTTAAAGGATCTGAGTGATGATGAGAACATGGTGGGTCATGATGAAGAGCAGTGGAAACACAAGGAGGCATTATTTAATATCATAGTACACTTCATGAGGAAGATGGAGCAGGGGGAGCTGGCTGACAACCTGCAGAGAAGTAAAAGGATTTCTCTAAAGATTTAAGTAAATGATAAGTTTCTAAATAAGTTAGACTGACAATTTTGATATCTGATTTCATTTGTATTTCAGAATTTTCTGGCACAATTCTCCAATGTAACCTTAAATCATCTCTGAAGAAGAGGTTCCAGTGTGTGTTTGAGGGGATTCCTAAAGCAGGAAACCCAACGTTTCTAAATCAGATCTACACAGAGCTCCACATCATACAGGGAGGAAGTGGAGAGGTCAATAAAGAACATGAGGTCAGACAGATCGAAACAGTATCCAGGAAGCCACAGAGACCAGAAACAACAATCAGACAAGAAGACATCTTTAAACTCTCACCTGGAAGAGTTGAACCAATCAGAACAGTGATGACACAGGGAGTGGCTGGCATTGGGAAAACAGTCCTAACACAGAAGTTCACTCTGGACTGGGCTGAAGACAAAACCAACCAGGATGTCCAGTTTATATTTCCATTCACATTCAGAGAGCTGAATCTGCTGAAGGACAAAACGTTCAGCCTGGTGGAACTTCTTCATCACTTCTTTACTGAAACCAAGCAGATCAGCCAGTTTGAACAGTTCCAGGTTCTGTTCATCCTTGATGGTCTGGATGAAAGTCGACTTCCTCTGGACTTGAACAACCAGGAGATCCTGACTGAGGTCACACAGTCTGCCTCAGTGGATGTTCTGCTAACAAACCTCATCAGGGGGAAACTGCTTCCTTCAGCCCGCCTCTGGATAACTACAAGACCTGCAGCAGCCAATCAGATCCCTGCTGAGTGCGTTGGCATGGTAACAGAGGTCAGAGGGTTCACTGACCCCCAGAAGGAGGAGTACTTCAGGAAGAGATTCAGAGATGAGCAGCAGGCCAGCAGGATCATCGCCCACATGAAGACTTCACGAAGCCTCCACATCATGTGCCACATCCCAGTCTTCTGCTGGATCACTGCTACAGTTCTGGAGGATGTGTTGAAAACCAAAGAAGACGGCGATCTGCCCAAGACACTGACTGAGATGTACATCCACTTTTTGGTGGTTGAGACCAAGGTTAAGAAAGTTAAGTTTGATGGAGATGCTGAGACAGATCCACACTGGAGTTCAGAGAACAGAAAAATAATTAAGTCTCTTGGAAAACTGGCTTTTGATCAGCTGCAGAAAGGAAATCTGATCTTCTATGAATCAGACCTGACAGAGTGTGGCATCGATATCACAGCAGCTTCAGTGTACTCAGGAGTGTTCACACAGATCTTTAAGGAAGAGAAAGGGCTGTACCAGGACAAGGTTTTCTGCTTTGTACATCTGAGTGTTCAGGAGTTTCTGGCTGCTCTTCATGTCCATCTGACCTTCATCAACTCTGGTGTCAACCTGATAGGAAAGAATCACAACACCTTGCGTTGGTCTAAGTTATTTAACAAACCGCATTTAGAATATCTTCACCAGAGTGCAATCGACCAGGCCTTACAGAGTCCAAATGGACATCTAGACTTGTTCCTCCGCTTTCTTCAGGGTCTTTCTCTGCAGACCAATCAGGCTCTCTTGAGAGGCCTGCTGCCACAGGCAGGAAGCAATCCACTAGCCAACCGTGAAACCATCAAATATATCAAGGACAAAATCAAAGAGGATCTGACTGCAGAGAAAAGCATCAATCTGTTCCACTGTCTGAATGAACTGAATGATCGTTCTCTAGTGGAGGACATCCAACAGTCCCTGAGCTCTGGGAGTCTCTCCACAGATAAACTGTCTCCTGCTCAGTGGTCAGCTCTGGTCTTCATCTTACTGTCTTCAGGAAAAGACCTGGATGTGTTTGACCTGAAGAAATACTTTGCTTCTGATGAGGTTCTTCTGAAGTTATTGCCAGTGGTCAATGCGTCTGATAAAGCTTTGTGAGTACAGTACTGAGGATAATCAAATATTACCAGTTTCTATTCAGCTTAATTAACTTTAATGATGGCACAAATTAGAACCATCCTATTAAATCTACCCAATACAGCAAAATGCAGTTGATCAGTCAGATGATTGCTTTGAGTCTTGAGAGTTAGGACACACTCATCCTGAGTAAACTGAGTCAGTGTTGAGTCAGTGGAAACAAGCTATTAAATTTTAAGAGGAAAAATTCTACAACAAAACAAAAAGTAGTCCATAACAGAGGCTTTATAGAAGAGGACAGAAATGCAGAAAAACAAAACTGACTGGTTAAACAAAAGAGCTGTCAGGTAACTGGAAGGCCTGCCTCCAATTCTAATTTTAGAAACTTAGATCCAATCGTAAACCTACAGTTTGAAAGGCAGGGCATTGTTGGGAAAAACCTGGTATTTAATACAGACATTAAAAATATATTTCTACATCCTGTATTGAAAATGAATCACTGTACTAGCTCTACTGTACATACAGTGATACTGTAGCTACTACTGTTGAAAACATATCTTTGCTTTAAATTGTGTTGCAGATATAATATGTAGAGGAGGTTAGGAATAAGCTGTTTATGTCACTTTGAAGTTAAAGTAACTGCAATTTGATGAAACATTATTACAAAATAAATGTTAAGTATTAGATACTATAGATAAAACAGTTTGTTGGGAATGAACTTTGTCAAAGCTGCTTTTGCTTCACTTTAACTGTTATGTTTCTTTCAGGCTGAGTGGCTGTACTCTCACAGAGACAAGCTGTGAAGTTTTATCCTCACTTATTAGCTCCCAGTCCTCCAGTCTCAGAGAGCTGGACCTAAGTAACAACGACCTGATGGACTCAGGAGTGACGCTTCTATCTGCTGGACTGAGGAATCCCAGCTGCAAACTCAAAATTCTCAGGTCAGTCATCAGAGATGCTTTCCTACAAATCTCATACCCGCTGGACTTATGTCCGTTCTAAGTATTATTGTCACGTGTCACGAATAACAGTTCACACAATATTATTTACGTTCAAGATTCACTGAGGCTACAAGACCAAAGTTTATCTTATTCCTTAGCCGCCGTTTCTTGTACTGGATGTCACTTATTCCAGTTGCATTAAGTATCATTGGATCAATATATTTTCAGTTTATTGTGTTGTTTCAGCAGATAAAGGACAAAAGCATGTTTTGCACTTCTATTGTTTTCAAAAATATAATGGAAATCAACTCAGGCTTTGAATGAAATGGTTCTGTATTGTGTGTCTGCAGCCTATCAGGCTGTTTGATCACAGAAAGAGGCTGTTCTTCCCTGGCATCAGCACTGAGCTCCAGCAGCTCTCATCTCAAAGAGCTGGATCTGAGGTACAACAATCCAGGAGACTCAGGAGTGAGAGAACTGTCAGCTGTACTGAAGGACCCACATTGGAAACTCGAGACACTCAGGTAAGGAGAAACACTCAACAGTAATGTCTGTCTGTCTGTCTGAGAAAAACCAGAGCTAGGACTATGTATGCTATATCGAACAAGTCTTGTTCGCAGAATTAGTACCTCGTTGAAAACTAATAATCTTTAAGCAGTTGAACCCACTTTTCATTAAGCCTAGATTTTTGTGTTTAAAAGGGTTTTTTTTCTATTGGTTCAAAGTAACATTTTCGGATTAGCTGTATGCAGAAACATTGTTGACAGCTTCACTGTCAACAATGAGTTCAAACTGAGCTGGAATTTCCCCATGACAAAAGACAAGAAGTGTTGGACTCTTCCTCTGACAATAGAGACATCTTTGTAGACATTTATGTAATTTCTATGTTTTCATGATGAAACTAGAGACTGATGGTCTGACCTCCTCCTCCTTTCAGGTTGGAGCCTGCTGGAAATGAGTGGTTGACACCAGGTCTGAGGAAATGTAAGTATGCTTTAAATTTGATTTCAGAGAAGTAGCACTTGGTGAACCATCTTCACTATTTTACATCTCTGTAAGTCGTTTTGAGGTGTCAGTAAATGATCCTTAATTGTGTTCATTCTCTCCATCAGATTCCTGTCAACTCACCATCGATACAAACTCTGTACACCAAGAACTTCAACTCTCTAAAAACAACAAGAATGTGGAAAAGGTGGAGGAGAAAAATGCATATCCTGATCATCCAGACAGATTTGAAGGTCTCTGGCCTCAGCTTGTGTGTTCAGATGGGCTGAGTGGTCGTTGTTACTGGGAGGTTAAGTGGAGTGGGACTGTTTTTATATCAGTGAGTTACAGAGGCATCGAAAGGAAAGAAAAGAAAGAAAACTCTGCATTTGGATGGAATGACGAGTCCTGGAGTCTGGAATGTTCTGATCGTTGTGGTTACTCTGTCTGGCACAATAACAAGAAGAAATGCATCTCATCTTCATCCCCTTATGCTTTATTGTCTTTCATGACCTCCTCCTTCTCTTTATCTAAAAAAGTAGGAGTGTATGTGGACTGTGATGCTGGTATCCTGTCCTTCTACAGAGTGTTATCTGGAAAACTGACCCACCTTCACACCTTCAACACCACATTCAAGGAAACTCTTTATCCTGGATTTACAGTCTGGCCTGGATCCTCAGTGCGTCTTTGTTAAGAACAAAAAATCTCCACTTTCCTTAATTTCTCAAATTATTTACACAACTGAATGTGCATTTCTCAAAACTATTTGTTCAAAAAGCAAAACAACATGGACTGCCTGCAAAGGTCAGTGTATTTCTCCAAATCCTAGTTCATCTTTCCAAAGTCAATGCAATGAAAAAGTCCTTGTTTCATTTGTACATATAATTCAGATTGATTAGTCATGTTGCAGATACAACATTTAGGTTTTGTTGAATAAAATATAGTTCTTCTGTTACAGCATATTTATATACATAATTACTTTTTGGATTTTCTTTGTTGCCTTTTTGTGTAATAGCAAATATTTCTTGTAATATGTCTAAGTATTTACTCTACTTGAAACTGTTGTTTGACCTTTTTATGACTATTTGAATATGTTTTGTAGGATTATAATCCTCTTACACTTGGTGATCCTTTTTTGTTTGTTTTAGATTTAAATTTGATATTAATTTACTTGGCACTAAAACATCCTATTCTCCAAAAACAGGTAAAATTTCTTCTCACATGATCTACTGAAGAAGAAATGAGGAAACAACGTTTTAAAGATTTTTTTCAGGAAATAATAGCTTGAAGAAATTCTGATGATGCCGATCAGCAAACGGTTGACTGATGTTTCTCCAACTGTAACCAGGAAACTGTTGTAAACAGAATAAGAACATCTCAGATTGTTCAACAAATTAAAATATTTATTTATATCTGAATCAGAAATGTTAAATAAACAATGGAGAAACATAAAACCTTAAGCTGGTGCAGACGATTATAAAACACAAAAAATTAAAACTTCATTGTATGTTATGTAATGTTACATAAAGGGGTCTCATGGCTGATGTGTCACTGCTGAATCACATGATGAGGCACAGCCCATCAGGGCTCAGTGTGGTGGCACTGCAGACTAAATGGCATCTTCAACATGATCACCTGCAGGCAGGTGAGCTGTGGTGGGCGTGGCCAGCCTGACATGGAGTTTCCCTGCTGCAGGCTGAATCAGGATAAGTTTGGTATTAAAGTAAAATCAAGAGCAAACAGCAAAACACTGCAGAGTCTTCATGCTGACTGCAGGTGGAGTTCTCTGGTCGGAGTTCGGGTCCGTCACTGTTCTGGTTCTCATGTGGGAGGAGGCCCGTCGTAGCGCAGCATGAGGTTGAAGGATCGGGCGAAGTTGTTGGAGAGTGAGCAGCTGTTCCCATCGTCCATGAGCGGCAGCAGGAAGGCGAGGAGCAGCAGAGCGAGGAAGAGGAGCCACAAAAGAAGAGCCAAACGGCAAATCCTGTACAGCAGCCCACATTTCTGAAAACACAGAGAAGATGGAGCAGAACAACATGAAGCAGCAAATCTGTTGAAGTGATGGAGTGTTTAAGATGTTGTGTTTATCTGCTTAAGTGACGTAGCAGGGTGTTACCACGGTAACATTACCTTTCCTGTTCTTGTTTCAGAGGCTGTCCCCTTTACGTTTTCTGCACCTCTCTGCAGAGAGACAGAATATCAAGTATTAGATTGTTAAGCTTGACTCCATGACTCAGAAACAACACAAACCAATTCTGACCGAACTGTCTGCAGCAGACTCACTGTTGCACTGAAAACCTGGGAGTTTACAGTTCAGAACGGGGAAACATCTCCAACACTGGGGTGGGCATTTATTTTATCTTTAATCCTTGATCTTGATAAACTTCTTATCACGGTAGGTATTTTTGATTTATTGTTGTAAGAAAATATTCCAATTGATGATGTCTAAGGACTCCCAAAACTTGTCGGGATTGATTTTTTAGTGCTTTTTTCCACAGTTTGTTCCATGAAAATCTCAATAAATACCAATTAATTTAAAAAAAAATAATTAAATATAGTTACTGTGTGCAGTTTAACTATACAAATCACACTTCTTTATCTGACTGGTGTCCTAGAGACGTGTATTATAAACAGGAATGAGCAGTATTGGTGTTTGCGGGGCCATAACTGCAGCCATACAATTACCCAGAGTAATTAATAGTTCTTAATGTCATTTTTATCATTATCACAATAATACCACAAAATAACGTGATAAAACTTTATGTCCATATTCATAAATTTCACTAACAAAGTCTAAATAAAACCTCCCTGCAGCAGCAGCAGTCAGCCTGCACTGCCCCCTGGTGGTACACATAAACAGTGCACCAACAGCTGAAGCCCATTCTACCAACAAAATATAAAAGTAACTATTGTAATATAATATCACTGCTGGGCATCATAAGATACAAAATGTTTTACTTTTTGCTACAAAACCGAATTGATTTGAGGTGAATTTGACCTGATTTAGATTCTATATAAACGGGATAATGGTTGTGTTGTGTAAACTGATATTTATGGTGTTTTGGAGTTATAAATAAATAAACTGAACTGACCATAAGCTCCAGTTCTTTTCTCTCCTTGAGTCCCGGTTTAGTCATGATGAGGCTGTTCTCCACTTCCTTCAGCTTGGACTTGTAGAGGGTCCAGCGGTACCGGAGGTCCTCCAGAGGTTCATCCTCACCCTGACGGCTCTGAGTCTGCTGGAGCAACAGCTGAAACATTTGCTGACCTTCAGGGAGTCTGGATATCAAAGCCTGTAGCAGAAGAATTAATTACATAACATTAATCATAAGCCTAACATATTAATAACTTCACAAAAAATTACAAACATAACATGCAGCCTGGATAAAGCATTTATATCTGTGTATAAATGTGAGTCTGAATGGATGAATGTAAATCTAATCTTCTGTAAATCTGAGCTGCAACATGTTTGAACATTTCCAAAACATCAAGCTAAAAAAAGACACAAAAAGGAGGTTGGAATTAAATTATGGAAAGATGAAAGCATAAACTTAGCAAAGTTCATTAAAAGAATGATAAGGAAGAAAATATGTGATGGTTTCAAGGACGAATAACTTCAAATTGTGTTGCAGCTGTTTTGGTTTTGTAGTGCTTTCTTTCCTTTTATGCTTCTGTTCAGTGACTTTTACATAGAAAAAATAATTATTTTGAGATATTTATGTATTGTGATGGTGTATAAAGTGGTACATTAGTGGTAGGCATAAATATAAGTCTTGTGCTTCTGCCTGCATCTTTTCTATCAAGTTTTAAAATAGTTGCAGTATTTTGAAGTATGAGTAACAAATTATTCAATGACTGAATACATAAATTTTAAAAATAAATAAAATTTTATTGTACATATTTTATTGCATTTTTGCCATGTTAATATAATACTAATTATATGTTCAACATGTTAAGATATGAACAATTATGGTTAGCAATACCAATATATGATTAATATGTGATTATGTTGTCAATATTTGATTATAAATAATTTATATGAATAATGTAATGACACTGCTTTATAACTAGATAAGTTAGAATTAAAAGACACTTCAGATTTTTTAAACATTTCTCTTCATGTCAGACTGTTACCTGCAGGTTTCCCCGTCGGGTCTGGATCTCCTCGGCACTGAGGGAACTCTTACTGGTTCTGGTTATCTTCATCAGAACTTCATTCTCTCTGGACAGCCAGGCCTCAAACTCACTCCACTTGATTTGGTTTAGTCCTCTGCTGCCCTGCAACCACCAAACACAACCTGGGTCAGAACCAGAGCTGCTACTTCATGTTCTCTACCAGTGTGGAGCGTCGCTACGTCTGTCATAGATGGAAAAACGATCCAGATAGATCCGATAAATCCACTGAAACCTCAACAATAAAATCAAAAGAGGTGAGACCATCTGGACTGATGTATTTCACTTCCGATACCGATACAGAAATCTGAGGTTCAGTATCGGCCGATACTTTCCGAAACAGAAAATCAAAGCAGAACTGACTTTGTTTTTAAACAGACATTGATCTACTGAGTTACAAATTTATTGGATAAATCTGCACCACTATAGCACACGGAAATGCACCAATAACTGCATGTCAAAACACAACTTTAATGCGTTTATATAGTTTATATAGGAGTACAACAGCCAATGTAAAATAAGTAAGAAAGAGAAAGAACCTTTTAAGTCAATTCAGCACCGTTCTTCCTGTATCGGATTGGAATCGGCCGATACTAAACCTCAGATATCTTTATTGATATCGGAAGGGAATAAAGTGGATTGGTGCGTCTATAACCCTGTGTTTGTAATGAATGACATTCAAACTTTTGCAAATTTTTCTGCTTCAAATTTTAAGGCATTATTAAGAAACCCTCAGTGGTTCTGAAATGTTCTATAGAGCCAGAGAGGAATAATCAGATCAATATTATTTGACAGAGACAAAAGAAAAATGTTTACCCTGCTATCATCTTCTCCTGAAGACGAAGCCGTCGCCTCGTTTCCTTCTCCTCCTCCTCCTCCTGGGACCCTCCGTCTGGGTCCGTCTGTCTGACAGAAACCAGGCCGATCCACTACCTGTGTTACTGAATCTGGTTCTGATTCCAACCGTCCAAAGCTCTCTGCTGATCCAGAGTGAATCTCAGTGGAGCCGCCCTGCAGCCTGACAGGACATAAACACTCAGTCTGCTGCCGAGCAGAACCTGATCAGTACCAGGGTTTGGGTTGAATCAGTTACCTGTTCAGATTCAGGCTCAATGTGAACAGGTCTTCCCAGCGCTGCTTCAGCCGCTCCATGTCCTTCCGAATGTGGACCTGGCCGTCCGTTGAGGTTCTCCTCAGAACCTTCCCACCCTGAGCCTGGATCTGCTGCAGGTGGAGCTCCTTCTCTGGGAATTCACCGAGGAGCTTCTGAGGAGAAACATGGAGGAGAGAGAAATCTTCATCAGGAAGAACCATCTCCACCCTGCACAGGTTATTTCTACAGGGAAGGAAAAAGGAGACTGAAAAAACAAATGAATTCTGACTTTTTTTCCTCAGAATTACTTTAATCTCAGAATGCTATTGTAAGATTGTAAGCAAATGTATTTGTATAACACATTTCATGTACAAAGTGCTTTACAGGAAAATCAACAGCAGTAGTTTAAAAACGCATCTATAAATAAATTAAACAAAAAAAATAAATATTATAGTACGTAATGAATCTAGAAAATTAACTTTTTAATTCTTAATTTATTGAATTTAACCATGTCTAATGAGTCTGTGAGGCAGCCAGGAGAGGAACAAAAATGTTCACAGGTTTAAGATATTTTATGTTTTAAAACATTGTTTTTCCTTTAAAAACTTCAAATAATCTGAGATAATACTCGCAGTATCGTTGACTGACTGTTACAACATTCAGATGTTTAAATGTTAAACTGAGCTGAAGCCTCAGAGAAAATATCTGACCGATTATTGAAGGCTTTCTATAAAACATCACTGCTGGACTTTAGCTTTAATTCTTGCTTCATAAAAACTGCATGTCAGAAAATCTCAGGGTTCATTATGTTGGGTTGGAGTAGCTGTGCCGTTACCGTGGTTACCCATGACTTTTGTTTCTGAGCGGTCAGAAAGTGAGCCGTGCTGCACAGCCGAGATCCAAACACAGAACTGGATCAAAGCAGGATCTGACCAAATCTTTAAGGTCCAGTTATCAGACTAAACCAGTCAGAACCCACTCAGGTTCTGGGGATCGGTTTAGGTCAGAAACATGCGTCTCTCTCTCTCTCCTTCAGAACCGATCATAAAAC